TTATGCACAGCACAAGAAACAACAGAGAAAAAAGAACAACCTAGAGAGTGGGAGAAAATATTTATAAACTATGCACCTGATGAAGGATTAATATCCAGAGTATATAAGTAACTCAGACAGCTTCAAAGTAGAATATCAAATAGTCTGATTTTTAAAATGGTCAAAGGAGCTGAACAGGGCATTTCAAAAAGGAAGATTTATAGGAGAAAATGCTCAACATCACTCAGCATTCATGAAGTGTAAATCAAAGCCACATTGAAATAATCATGTCATTCCAGTTAAACTGGCTACTGTCAAAAAGGCAGAGAATAACAAATTCTGGTGACAAGTGGAGAAAGAGGAACCCTCCTATACTGTTGGTGGGACTGTAAATTATTGAAAATCATGTGGAGGTTCCTCAAGCAACTACAGGTAGAACTGCCATATAACTCAGCAATCCCACTGCTGGGTATCCATTCAAAGCATTGGAAATAATCATGTGGAAGAGACACCTGTACTCCCATGTTTATTGCAGTTCTATTTACAGTAGGCAAGAGTCGGAACCAACCTAAAGTTCATTATTTGATGACTGGATGTGGAAAATGTGGTATATTTATAGAATGGAATATTACTTTGCCTTTAAAAAGAATGAATTATTGCCATCTACAGGAACATGGATGAGATTAGAAAAAATTATGTTAAGTAAAATAAGCCAGGCACAGAAAGAAAAATTTTGCATGTTGTCACTTATGTATGGCAGCTAAGAAAATAAATAAATAATTTAAGAAATACACAACAATCACAATATTGCATTGAATTTCAAGAATAGAAAACAGAACTGAGGTTACTAGAGGGAGAAAATGCTCAGGGGGTTGGTGGAAGAGAGGTATTGGTAAAGGGCCACAAAAATTGATTAAACTGTATAATGAAGAATATACTAATTATCCTGATTTGAACACATATTGCACACATATTGATATCCACTGTTTTACCTCAAAGATATGTACAATCAACTATGTTGCAATGAAAAAAACTTAAGTAAAGGAAAGCTTTTTATTGAATCTTCACTTATTTCTTTAGTTCTCTTTATGTATATCCAGATTCTAACCTATATCTTTTTTCTTCTCTGTTATTTTTTTTCCCCCACATTGCTTCCAATACTGGTGTACTGGCAACAAATTCTCTCAATTTTTGTTTGCCTGAGAAAGTCTACTTTTCTTCTTTTTTACAGGTTGGTTTTCTAATGCACAGGACTCTAGGTTGTAGGTTTCTTAAATCAACCACTTGAATATTTCACTGTACTCTCTCCTTACATGGATTCTCAAAAGATGTTGGGGGTAATTCTTACCTTGTTTCTTTTTAGGTAAGATTTTTTTTCCTCCCTCTGGCTTCAGTCAGATTTTTCATTATTTTTGATTTTCTGAAGTTTGAAAACTACATGCCTAGATGTAGATTTTTGGCATTTGTCTGGTTCTGTGTGATATTAACTCCCTTGATCTTTGGTTTGGTGCTTGATATTAATTTGTGGAAATTCTCAGATATTATTGTCTTAAGTGTTTCTAATTTTATTTTTTCCATCTCTCTTCTTCTGATTTTCTCATTACTCTATGTTATAACTTTTGACATTGTCCACCACACTTCAGATATTATGTTCTGTTCTTTTTTGTCTTTTTCTTGTGTGTGTGTGCTTTTCACTTCTTAATTTCTTTGATCTATTGTCAAACCCAGAGATTTTTTTTCTCACCTTTGTTCAGTCAACCAAGTTGGTGAGAGTGTGGTGCCAATACTATCAATGACCACTGTTTGATTCCTATACTGGCCAGTTGCCTGCCCCCTGTCTATCTTTCTAACATCTACATAATTATTTAAAGGATTTTCATTCACAGAACTATGAATATATTGGATTTCGAAACAACAAATGCATATATATATACACACATATATATATGTATATATATATGTATGTGTATTATGTATATACATGTATATATTTGATGAATTACCTTGGAAGACTTCCTACTATTGAGCTTTCCTTTAATTGTGGAATAAATGTAGAAAACTTCTTTTTGTTCTTCACATTCTATTTTTCTCTATCTTATGTTTAAAGATAAAGTGCTTCTGCAGACTCTGTCCTTTTATTTTGTTTTTTTCTTGGAATCTCTTAGGTTTGCTCACTCATTCTGATGGCTTCATTTAACATTGAAATTTTGATATTTTCCTGCCTTGGACGGAATGTTCCCCCAAAACTTGACCCCCACTGTGACAGTGTTATGACATTGGGAAATCCTATTATAGTAATGGAAAGATGAAGCCTTAAGGATGCGATTACATTGTAGGGCCATGCCATAATGAATGGTATAATAATGGTGGGCAGGGATGTGGTTCTGAGGGCTTTAAAAGAACACATGAGAGGTTGACCTCTCTGTACCCAGCCATTTTCTGCCTCATGAGACTCCTGGATCACTGTAATCTCCACCAAGGCTTTCTCCAGCTGTGTCTCCTGGATTTTTAACTCCCCAGCTTTTGAAACTGTAAGCAGTAAATTTCATTTTCTAACAAATCACCCAGTGTGGAATAAACTAACATTAATAAAGCACATGTATTTCCCAGAGCCTAGCTTCCAAGGCCCTGTAGTTTCAGGTATAGCCTAACTTTATAAAATTACATATAGAAATATTAAGGTTGTGAAAGGCAGGAAACTTTCCCGAGGCTAAAGTCTCTGTTGTAGTTAAAGAACTGTAACACAGCAAAATTGCTGGCTCTAAGGACAGATGTCCTTGGTGCAGCCAAACCTAACAATTGTTGCCATGACAATTATCTTACTGTTCTATTGTAACCACCTGTGTTCCTTTTCTGTAACTTTCTGGCCTGGAGAATAAATTCTGAGAGAGGACCCTAGTTTGGTGTTATTTTCCCTAGAAATGCCTCTCTCTTGAGGGTTCCTGGAAATTAACCCCTTTGGGGCTTCTCACTGCTCAGAAGAAATGGGCTTTTGAGTAATCCTTTGCATCTCCATCACCCTGGGAGAGGTGACAACCCAGTTCCAGGTATTTTGTTATAAGCAGCAGAAAGGGACTAATACATTTTCAAATCTTTATCTTCAGCTTAGATCTCTCTCTTGAATTCTGGATTCATGTATCCAATTGCCATTTGGACATTCCCACGGACATTTCAAGTATAATGTATTCAAGTCTGTTTTATTTGTGCGCATTATGTTTTCCTGTCATTCTTCAAACTACATGTTACAGTACCAGTACCTAACTAGCTGTAATTATGTAGAGAGCCTGAGAGTAAAACACTACTTTATTTTTTGCATTGGAATTTAGTACCACAGTGCCTTCCTGCTTTTTGTTTCTATATTGCTTTCTTCTTCTGTATGTTGCTGCTCTGTTATTTATTTATTTATTTATTTTCTGTTGGGTGACCTGTATGGGGATCTGAACCTGTGAACTTAGTGTTACCAGAAGCACACTCTCCCATGTGAACTAGCTAACCAGCCTTGTACTACATTCTAATGCAGCTGGTCTTCCATCACCCTGTTTTCTTCTTCTCTGACTTCAAAGCTTTCTCCATTCTCTTTCTAGTGGATGACTATTAAATTGTAAATCTCATGTGTAAATGATTTGTATTTACAAAACCACATTATTTACACCCTGTGTTTAGAAAGTGGCAGTGTTCACTCATGCAGACACAAGCAATCCTTTGGCATGTGGGAAGGAAATTTTGGAATGCCTTTGTATACACTCTCGGTTTATAAGTAATTAAAAAACAGCAATTGCATATAATGTTTTGCTGTTTGAATTACACAAATATTTAAATGCAGAATCAGTGCATAATATGTTTCTTTAATACTGTGTGTATCTGTTATCATTTCTCATGAGCATTCACCTAGAAATGGTGTGGTGTGTAGTTCCATTAGCATGGGTTGCCTTCCTTTGCTTTTGTGACTGCATTTTTGCTGTTGCTTCATATTCGTGAGAACACGTGGTTCACATGGAAGAGCTTAACATCGTTGGCATTTCAGTGTAGTGCAAACAGCATACAACATAGACTTATATTTTGTCTTTATTACCCCATTCTCTATTGAACTTTTTTCTAAATTGGTTAATCTGACATACTGGTTCAGGTATGTATTTATACTTATGTCTTCATACCTGATTGCAAACTTCTTGGAGAAGCAAAATTTTATTCATACTTCTATCACTAGCAACAAGGATGGTTCTTAGTTATAAGGTAAGCTTTGTAATCATATTTTTACTAATTAATATATTATTACAGTGACAAGATATTCCTACTGCGTTGTTTTTCCTCTACTATATGGCATACAGAAAAGCAGCACCTTGTTTAACACATAAGACACACACTCTCAGAAGTGTGAACTCTGAGATAGCTGTTCTGTGACCCAGGGCTTGTGGTTTGATTTGAGATCAATGTGCCATTACAGGAATTGGTGTCATTTGAGGATGTGGTTGTGGACTTCACCTGGGAGGAGTGGCGGGACTTGAATGATGCTCAGAGGACTTTGTACAGGGATGTGATGCTGGAGACCTACAGCAGCCTGGTGTCATTGGGTGAGTGAAAATCCCCAGTAACGTTCAGGAGAAACCTTTTGATTTTATTATAAACATAGAAGTGGTTTGTAGGGTTTTGTGTTATTTGGTAACATTACATTTCATGAAAAACATGTCATCCCTATCTAATAAAAGTTTCTAATTGGCCTCTTTATTGTATGGTTTCTGTAGCTGAGCTTGTCATCCTTCCAAGGATCTGACTTTGCAATTTTATAAAGTCCTATGTTACTTCTCATTAACAGGACACTGCATTAGTAAACCTGAGGTGATCCTCAAGTTGGAGAAAGGAGCAGAGCCATGGATTATAGAAGAACATCCAAACCAGAGCCTCCCAGGTTCGTAAGCACATCCTGAGCAGAGGCCAAGAAGAGTAAAACCCAGCAGATCTTGGCTGTGTTCAGCTGTTTCTGCTAATTTTTCCACAGATGCCTGAGCTGAGGCTGGGTCATCTCTTATGAAACCCATGTATTATATAATCTCGTAGATGGACTCACACATATACCGCCCTCTACTTTATTTTGCTGTCTTTTAAAAAAGGTATTTTCCTAGAATATAATCCCTACATTTCTCTTCTTTGATATTTACTTTTTCTATTCACTTTTTCAATATTCTCAGTTGCTCTCATGTACTCTGCTCTCATGCACATGGTTTTTCAGAATCTAACATTTTGTTTTGTGTTGCTTAAAACAACATATCTGAAACTGGGTAACTTATGAAGAAACAAACTCTATCTCTTACTGTTCTATTCTGGAGGCTATGCATTCCAAGGTCTAGAGGCAGCATGTGGTAAGGGCCATGTTTCTCGTGGGGATTCTTGGCAGAATCCCAAAGTATTGCAGGGTATCACATAGGAAATTGATAAGAAAATAAGACAAGAGGTCCAGGTATGAGCCTTCTTAACCACATCAGAAATTATGGAGCTGAGTCAGACCTAGCATAGGGGCATGGAAAAGGAGAGTTCTGGACTTTAGAGAAGAATCCAGAGACTCAGGATGTCAAGGCCAAGTGAACCAAGGGTTTCAAGTTGAGGAACTGAGATTGCTACTTGGAAGTGAAATTTGAAGTTAGTATTATTTTCCTCTTCTCTTTGTAGAAGTCATTCTGAAACAACAAAGAAAATTAGAAATGTACGAAAGACCCTATCTTTTTATAAGAGTAGTAGCCATCCAGAACTACAGTGCATAATACTAAAGATTTCATGAGCAGTGAATTATCAAGTGGGGGTGTACGTTCCACAGTCTGGGAAGAGAATATAAGTTGGTTTTAGGATGAGTCAAAAAACCCTTTTTCAGAGATGGTGAGCACAGCCTTGTTTGTAGAACCAAATATTTTAGACCAGCAGGAAAAGGGTGTCTGGAGGGGTGGACTGAAGTTTCCTGTATAGCAGTGGTTTTGAGAAGCACAGAAAGGTTAAATGAGTAATTTGTGGGAGGCCTTTAGAGTAGAAAAAAGATTTAATTTGAAAAACTTGCACATGTCTATAGCCATTTCCTAGGGAAGACTAAAAAGTATAGAAACATTAATGCAAAATTCTTAACCTAAGTCATTTTCCGCCATATGTGGTGAAAAACTGGATCATTCTGCATCTGAAAGTAGGCAGAGAAGGGAAATATAGCCATATTCAAAGCAGAAGAATGAGAAATAGAGCAGCAGAAGATAACCACTATTGTTATAAAATAAAAAAGAGTACAACATATAAACAAATGGAATGTGATAAGCAATTATTTGAAATCTACAATTAGGAAGAAAGTAAAAATTATCAAATACTTCATCATGATTTAAAGAAAAAAAGTGAATAAAGAAGCAAAGAAAAATGTGAAATAATGCTTAGAAATATATTAATACAACATAAAATTATGTCAGTGTGAAAAAACCCCATATGCTCCTGAAACCAATACCTTTATTGATTATTATAAAATCTTTTATAACTAGGATTGGGAGAAACTTCTCTACCTTTATATAAGCATTTAGTAAAATATCCTTTTGTATGGTTCATGGACATTTTTTTTTTTTTTGTCATTTCAGATGTCCAGATAGTCAATGATCTAACTGAGAGGAGCCAAGAAAGTCATAGTAGATACTTGTGGCAAGGTGTAATGATCAGTGGCAACCGATCAACTGAGGAGAGAGTAGAGTTAGGAAAATCTTTTAATTTGAGTTCAAAGCATATTTTAAATCTGGTTATAAATAATGGAAACTATTCAGGAGTGGGGTATGAGGAGTTTAACGTATGTGAGAATGCACTTCTTACTGAGACTGATGCCATGTATGCTGGAGAGAAACATGATGACCATAATATGTCAGAGAAATCACAGAGACATTATGAGCATCTTAGTCAGCATCTCAAGATTCCACCTGTGCAACCTGTTGAATATAGTGGAAAAGGAAAATCCTCCAACACAGTGCCAATAATATTTACATGTAAGAAGATTCATATGGGTGAGACCACCTGTAAATGTTGTGAATATGGGAATGCCTGTAATGAGTCAGCTGTCATTGCCCAAGAGATAACTCAGATAGGGAAAAAATTTTTTCAGTGTGATGTATGTGGGAACATACTCCATAAAAAGGATAAACTTACTCAACATCAGAGTATATACACAGGAGAGAAACATGATAAATACAGTGAATGTCACAAATCTTTTATTAAGAAATCATACCTTATATCATATCATGGAATATATATAGGGAATAAGCTTTATCCATGTAATGAACAGGAGAAATTTTTCTATCAGACCTCAGACCTTACTGCGCATCACAGAATTCACACAGAGGAAATGTGCTGTGGATTTAAGTGTGGCAAAAATTTTCATGAGACTGTGCTTCTCAACTGTCATCAGACAATTCACACAAATGAAAAATCATGTGAATGTAATGGATGTAGAAACTCTTCCTACAGTAATTCTGCCTTTACCATTTATCAGAGAACTCACATGAATGAGAATCCATATGAATGTGAAGAATGTCAAATTTTCTCCAGTAAGTCAAAACTCCAGAAGCATGAGAGAATTCACACTGGTGAGAAACCCTTTGACTGTAATGCATGTGTAAAAAGCTTTCACCAGAATTCAAACTTCAGCAAGCATAAGAAAATTTATAAGGAATGTGGAAAAAATTTTAACCAAAAGTCAGACCTGATGAGACATCAGGGAATTCACACAGATGAGTACTCATATGAATGTAAAGAATGTGGAAAAGCTTTTAACCGAAAGTCAGCCCTCAACAAGCATCAAAGAATTCACACAGGTGAGAAACCATATGAATGTAAAGAATGTGGAAAAGCTTTTAACCAAAAGTCAAACCTCAGCATGCATCAGAGAATTCACACAGGCGAGAAACCATATGAATGTAAAGAATGTGGGAAATCTTTTAACCAAAAGCCAGCTCTCAGCAGCCATCAGCGAATGCACACAGGTGAGAAACCATATGAATGTAAAGAATGTGGAAAAGCTTTTAAACACAAGTCAGTGCTCAGCTTGCATCACAGAAATCACACAGGTGAGAAACCATATGAATGTAAAGAATGTGGAAAAGCTTTTAGCCAAAAGTCAATCTTCAGTAGGCATCAGATAATTCACACAGGTGAGAAGCCATATGAATGTAAAGAATGTGGAAAGTCTTTTAACCGCAAGTCTGTCCTCAGCATGCATGAAAGAATTCACACAGGTGAGAAACCATATGAATGTAAAGAATGTGGAAAAGCATTTAACAGAAAATCAGCCATCAACAAGCATCATAGAATTCACACAGGTGAGAAACCATATGAATGTGAAGAATGTGGGAAAGCTTTTAACCAAAAGTCGCACCTCAGCATGCATCACAGAATTCACACAGGTGAGAAACCATATGAATGTAAAGAATGTGGAAAAGCTTTTAACCGAAAGTCAGACCTTAAAAGTCATCAGACAATTCACACAGGTGAGAAACCACATAAATGTAAAGAATGTGGAAGAGCTTTTAACCAAAAGTCAAAACTCACCATGCATCAGAGAATTCACACAGGTGAGAAACCATATGAATGTAAAGAATGTGGAAAAGCTTTTAACCGAAAGTCAGACCTTAAAAGTCCAACAAAAAATCACACAGGTGAGAAACCATATGAATGTAAAGAATGTGGAAAAGCTTTTAACCGAAAGTCATACCTCAGCAGTCATCAGACAACTCACACAGGTGAGAAACCATATAAATGTAAAGAATGTGAAAAAGCTTTTTACCACAAGTCACAGCTCAGCATGCATCAGAGAATTCACACAGGTGAGAAACCATATGTATGTAAAGAATGTGGGAAAGCTTTTAACCAAAAGCCTGCCCTCAAAAGCCATCAGAGAATTCACAAAAGTGAGACACCATATGAATGTAAAGAATGTTCAAAAGCTTTTAAAGAAATGTCAGCCTTGAGCATGCATCTGAGAACTCACCCAGGTGATAAGCCTTGTGAATGTAATGGATGTTGAAAAACCTTTAACCAAAAGTCATACTTCGGGATGTATCACAGTACTCACACAGGACAAAAACCTTATGAATATAAAGAATGTGGAAAAGTTTTTAACCAAAAGTCAGACCTCAGCATCAATCAGAATTCATACAGGTGAGAAATCATATGAATGTAAGGAATGAGGAAAAGCTTTTAACTGAAAGTCAAACCTCAGCATGCATCAGAGAATTCACAGGTGAGAAGCCCTGTGAATGTAATGAATGTGGAAAAAGTTTTTTTTTTTTTTTTAACAAAGTCACAGTTAAAAAGACATCATGATACTCAGGAAAAAACTCCTTATGAGTGTAGTATGACAAGCCTTGCACTGGAACTCCCTGTAACAGACAGGAAAGAATTCACACAAAGGAAAACCTTAGTGAATGTAATTTGTGTGGGAGAAGATTTTGCCAGAAGTCATACCTCAAGACATCAGAGAACTTATATCAAGAAGAAGACCTATAAATATACAGTTTTCCTCAGGTTTTGGAGATTGTTTTGAGAACCCCTATTGATTTAAAAATTTGCTGATGCTCAAGTCCTTTCTATAAATGGTGTAGTGTTTATGTATTATCAATTCACTTCCTGCCATGTACTTTACATCTTGTGTAGCTTATAATACTGGAGAAACTGTGAATACTGTGTAAATAGTTGTACTGTGTTGTTTTTCAGTTGTGGATTTGTTTCATTTATTTAACATTTTCATTATTTTTGAGGATTTTTGATAAGTAGTTGGTTGAATCACCAGATGTGTAACCCTCAGATGTGGAAGGAGGACTGTAATGAGTGTGGAAACATCTTTTCTCCAAAGTGTCAAGGCTGGCTATCATTAGTGCATTGTTGCTTACAGCATTGTGCTCATAACACAAAGGATCCACTTACCAGCCACTTTCAAATAAATAAACATAAAAAAGGAATCACATCATAGCAGGCATTAGAGAATTTACACAGGGGAGAAATTCTTTATGGATTAGACTGACTGTGTTTTCTGAATAAAACCAATCTTTTGTATGCATAGCCTGCAATCTGAGCATTCCATATTGCATGGATGACCATGTAATTTAACCCTCTTTAGGGGAATGTAGATATTAGGAATGAACATTACTTCCAGTTCATGCACCAAAATAAAAAAGCTTCCATGTAGTTGTTCCTGATTTCTCAATATCTCTGGGACTGAATAAAGATGACTCTTGGGTGGAGTTTTGGACAGACTTTCTTTGGCATTGTGTCTATATGTGCATACCTGTAAATTAAGTTGTTTTATAATGTTGTCCAAGACTTCTATACCCTTGTCAATCTTTTGCCTAGTTGTTCTATTGATTATCGAAAGTTGCACTTGATGTATCTGAATATTTACATAGAACAGTCTATTTCACCCTTAATTTCTTCTCTATTTTTATTTGATGTTAGGCTTATTTGGTACATTTATACCTATAATTGCTATGGTGTGCTCCTGGCTGACACTTTTGTCATAAATGACCCTCTTTATTCCTAGTAACATTTTTGTTTTAATTTTTTTTTTGTTTGATATTAGTATAGCCAGCTGGTGTATCTGTGTAATGGTTCTGTTTACATTGTATATCTTTTCCTGCCCATTAACCTTCAACCTGTTGGTATCTTTGAATTTAATGTGTTTCTCTTGTGTTCAATATAGAGGTTTTTTCTTTTTTTCATTTTGTCTTTTAATACTATTGGACAAGTCTTTAAAATTGTTTTATTTTGTTTTACTTGACATATTGTAATTGTATATGCTAAAGAGGTACAGGTTGATGTTTCAACACATGTATATATTGTGAAATGATAAAATCAGGCTAATTCACATATTCATTATCAAGACACATTATTTCTTTGTGGTGAGAACTTTTAAAATCCATTATGTTAGCAACTTTGAAATATACATTACTATTAACTGTATTCACCATGCTGTGCAGCAGATCACCAGAACTTATTCCTCCTCCTGAAGTGAAACTTTGTACTCTTGGTCATTCTCTCTGTTTCTATTAGTTTGACTTTTTAGTAGTCCACATATAAGTAAAATCAAGTAGTGTTTGTCTTTCTGTACCTGGCTCATTTTACTTAACACAATGTACTCGACTCATCTATGTTGCCACAATTGACAATTTGTTTCCTTTTTAAGTGTCTGAGTAGAATTTTATTTTATATGTAAACATTTATTTTATTCATTTATTTGTTGATGAATGCATCTGTTGTTTCAGTATCTTGACTGTTGTGAATAATAGTGCAATAAACATGGGAGGCTTGACATCTCTTCCTCACACTGTCAGTTCCTTTGGACATAAACCCACAAGTAGGATTGCTGGATCATTTGGTAGTTTTATTTTTAGCTCTTTGTGACAACTTTCTTCTACTTTCCAAATTGGTGTTTTAATTTATGTTCCAAACTTGTGTATTCACACCTTCATGAACACTTGTTATCTTTCATCTTTTTGATAATACCTGTCCTAATAGGTCTGACATGATCTCATTGTAGCTTTAAATTGCACTTCCCTGTGGATTAGTGATATGGACAATGCTTTCATACATCTGTTGGTCATTCCAAGTCTTCTTTTGAGAAATGTCTATTCAGGTTTTTGTTCACTTTTTGAGTAGTGTTATTTATTTATTCTTATTGAGTGTTTGGAGTTCCATATATGCTTTAGGTTTAGCCCATGTGAGATGTATGGCTTGCAAATATTTTTTCTGAATCCGTGGGTTGTCTCCTCACTTTGATATTTCTTTTATTTTCTGTGCAGAAGCTTTTCAGTTTGATGGTATAAATTTCTTCTAACCATGAGATTAGCTAAATTGAAGTTCTTACATGTGATGTCTGTACTTTATTCAGTGTATTTTCTAATTTCCACTGGGTGTAGTTATTTTGATTGTGTGTCAGCATTTCATCTATAACATAGGTGTAGTTAACCCCATATCATAGTTAGAAAAATGAGAAGTTGAGATTTATGTTTGTTGCTTGAGGTCTCAGACTGCCTCTAAAACTTTTCCACCATACTGTGTTCTTCCATTCTTCTGTGGAAACTGTGTTCACCAGTCTGGAAGCCTGGGTGGGCCTCTCATTAACTCCATGTTGCTGGCTTAGCTGGTGTGGGAGCCTGTCAAGAGAAGGGATCTCTGTCCTTAGATCAATTTCTTTGGTCCCAGGAGTTGCATACCTTGGCTTCAGTCATTGATCTTAAATGGGTTAATGCATATCAGTGAATTTGAAACTGCATGAGGTATACACAATTTAAGACCACATTGGTTGTCTTTGTGCACACTGTGAACATTAGATATATTCCTTTCAAAAAATCAGTTATATAATATTTGTAAGAGGACAAACTACACACAGCTTCAAATTACATTTCCTTTTCTTCAGTAAACCAGCGGGAACTACAGCATGGAACTGAGTGGCTTTGGATCCCAGTGTATTGACCTTTTGTCTTTTTAATGTGAGAGTCTGGTGGGTCCCAGATCCTCTAGGCCCAGGTGGAGAGGGTCTCAGTCCTCACCCCTCTACCTTGGGAGCCCCAAACACCTATCAGTTCTTAAGTATCAGCATTGCAGAGACCCAGAGGTTGGAGAAACTGATCCAGGTCAAAGGCAAAGTGAAGTAAAGGCTTTATGAAGAATCAGGGACTTAGGGGTGCTGGGCCAATCTCCATCCCTCCCTCAGCTCAGACTCAGCTGAAGTGGTTGCCCCAGAATTGTGTTTTCATTTCCCATAGTCGCCTCTGATCAGATCATCATGGAGTGTGTCCTCCTGGCCTGGAAAGGCATCAGACCATGCTCAGTGGGTTGTTGTGGAAAATGGGATTTGTCTTTGGGAAGTCACATTTGAGCTAGGGGGTCTCCACCATTTCCTTGCTCATACCAAACTTTACTGATCCAACACTGCCTTTGTGCCTTTGCCTTTGCTATGTCCACAGCAAGAGTGCCCTTTCTTGCACACACACCTCTTAGGACTCCCAGGGCCCTCCTTGCCCTCAGTCCCATAGCCACATTTATGTGCTGTCTTTGCTCCCATCCACCAAATTTGAGGATTTTCTACCTTTCTTGTATCAACTTCATGAATGTTCAGTGGTCGAGCAGGATACTGCTCTTCCTTCAACTGGATGAGAGGTGTGGGGTAGGAAGGTGCAATGGGGGAAGGGTGGAGGAGAAAGGAGATGTAGTGAACAGACAGAAGGTGAAGTGGGGCAGACAGAAACCCTCTACTACCTTTGTTGGGTGTAACAGGTGCTCTATGCCCAGCTCTGCTGCTACTGTTGCAGGTGCTGGTGGTGCTGGATGGTAACCTCCAGAAGTTCCTTGTCTTTCTTATTCCCTTGTGATAGCTGCCTGTGAGCTGGTGTTAAGGGGTAAGCACCTCTTTCTCATTATGCCCTCTCCATCTCCAACTATGTATCTTACCACATGGTTGCTGGCTCCTGGCTGTGAAGTAAGAGCCCCTCAGTGATGATGGTCTCCTGTCCAACATGGAGCACAGCTGCATCATCAAAACCTTCAGGTTTGTCTCTACCAGCTTCAATGTAGACAAAGGGCCAGATGAGCAGGTGTGGTCAGATAAGATCCACCCTCCTGCCCTGGCCTCATCTCCACTGAGCAGCTGCTATTTGCAAATCAACTACACCTCCCAGTTTCCCTCATGCCTCAGAGCCGACTACCTGGATGTGCTCATTTATACACTAATTCTGTGTTTCACAACCTGTACAGACTATATTTGTGGGCCTCCAATAGGGTTAAATTTTGTCATTTACCTCCCATCCCATCTTACATATTCAAAACAGTTTTTATCGAGTTGGACCATAGAAATGTGCAATAGGTCATTCTTCTTAAAACATATATATATGTTATTGAAACCAATCCCAAAAGGAGGAATCATTGGCAATATGTACTAAGATAACTTACTCCTGGTTTAATTCCTTTACATACAATAATTCACAAATGAAGGAATCATCTATGCTTGTATCAAGTACATTCTATAGGTGGAGTGTCTCAATTTTGGCTTCAAGATGTTTAGACAGCTGAAAATAAGATGTCAGTGTGGATTGGGATATTTGACTCCTCTGTTATTAATACAAAATGGATCTAAAACATCATTAGAATAATTACTGCACTAGTCCCCTCCCACTAGATCAAACAGTCAAGGATGATTTGCCTGGTTAATTATGGAATTCTGGATTTGCTTCCTTTGGCAGATGTCCTGAACAAAGTATTTTGCAGTCACTAATGAAGAAATG